TCGGCCTTCCGTAGCGGAAGTGAACTTTGAACCAAAATAAACTTTAACTTGTCAAAATATGTCTGAAACAACGAGCGCACGGTGGGAACGGAGAAATATCGATGAATAAAATTTGGTAATTTATAATTAGCAAGTCAACTTCCACAAAGGCAACTCCAGTAAAGAAGCGTTTGCTGGAAACGCTAGATCCGCAAATCGGTTCGAGTGTTATCGCCTGTGGCAAAAAGAAACAACGGAAAGTCTTCTCGGAAAACTTTGGAATTTGGGCAGGAGAGGCTTCAAACATCTAAGAGGGAAAATAACGATAATCTTGACCAGTATCTGAATAAAGATAATCTTCCCCTTGGCCAGACGAAATCACTAGGTTTTCCCACGCAGTAGTGCGAATCTTCTGTCCCGTGGTTTATTATCTTGTCCTTGGCGCATGTGGCATTCAAGAAAGTGATGTTAAAATTAAAGGAACAGCTGCAAATTGTGTCGCGCTTGCTTCTGCAATAATGTGCAGGCTTCGAAAAACCAAAGCGTCGGCATTGCAATACAGGATTTCTACCGTACTGTCGAAGCTGACGACTAAATCCTCGTTCAGCGAGAAAAGTTAAAGCGTTTTGTAAACAAGCTTCGAACGCGTCTTCCCCCTTTGTCTGGCGCTCAAAGGTATTAAAATACCTTTAATCGACACATGTCAATAATATTGGACTAGCCCAGCCAATCACGAGCCCCGTTCGCTGGCGAACGGAGGTTTTCAAAATCCAGGGGTTTGTCTGCAAGCGTTTCCTTCCTTCCCCTCTCCCACCCCCTCTTTCTTTGTTTTGGCTCTCGCCCCATTTTCCGCGCAGAGAAAACACCGAAAATCCCATTCGTCGGTCTTTCTTTGCTTCCAAACCCCACGGAAACGCTTGCTACACAGGCTAAGAAACATGTCAAAAACAGACTAAAAATGTTAACGCAGCATGGAGGCCGAGTAGTCAGGGCACTGAACTTGCAATCCTGAGGTCGCGGGGTTATTAAGTTCCGTTCTGACCATCGTGAAAAGCTGGAGTTTTTTTCTCAGTCAATTTCTCGGTCATGCCTGAAAATAGCCAACTTGACTGCCTCCCATCAGTTGGGATTTTTGTTGAGCCCTTTTTGACATATTCGTGTCTTTCAGTTCTACTGGCATACCAGCTAAGTGGAGCTTACACATTTAACAGGTCAAGTTCTTACTAGAAGTAAGGAATATTTGTGTAAAGTTTTGAGAAGAAGAAAAAATGAAAAAAATATTGTAAATATTATGGTAGAAATAAAGTCAAACGCTCCTTTTAGGTCCCAATAATTAGGTTTTTAATTCTCAATTTGCAACATTTTGAGGGCATGCATGCCCCGTTGATTCTACAACCCCAAGTTGCCAGTACCCATCCTGGATACTCCCGTGACCGTCCTATATAACCCAGTTGAATATATCCCCAGTTTGAAGCTACAGACTGAAGGTGGCTCAAAACAGTAATATTTCCGTGAGACGCCTGGGCTCTAGCGCGCACGCGAGGCATCACGCGATCACTCGAGGGTTCGCGAGATAGCGCACGAGTTTTAAAGTTTACAAAAATCAAAACAAACATCGCGACGCGAGACCTACTTCGTAAAACTTTGTTTCCGCTGTTAAGCTGTCGGCGTTATCCGTTATTTTTAACTTCGAAAACATTCATCCTTCAGGCAATTTCAAAGGAAAACATCCCTTTAAACCGCTGTGCTGGAACGCAAACGAAAGTTGTGATGTTGATGTTGGGATCGATCGCGCCGGCTGTCAATCTAGAAACCAGCAGGGAAAAAGACTACTCGTTCTTTGTACTTGGCTAGTCTCATCCCCGGGTATTTACGGTATTCTTCTTTTACCGCTTCTGCTACTAACGACAACAGCGAAAAAGAAAACTCTATTCGCGGACTTTTCTCGTTTGCGGGCTTTACTGATCAGCGCACCGCGATCTTGCAAAGTCGAGATTTTAATTTGCGCGTAGAACGCGCGCTAAAAGACCTTAGCCACGAAGCTAATCTCAAAAACTGATCCGGTGACCCTACTTTTTAATGAATGAAAATATTCAACAGCAAAAGCGGAATGCATGTGCGAAATTATAAAAAAAAACTGTGGAGTGGAATTTCTCCAACTTGGAAATTTCCATTTTTCTTAATAATGAAAAATCCACTCGACAGTATTTTTTATAATTTTGCCTGTTTCTTCTTCTGTGTGTAATAAAAAGAGTTTATAAAAAAATTATGGGGTCACCGGCTTAGCTTTTAAGATAGATGCAATTGATGGTAAAAAGTGGGTCAAGTTTGTTGCTATGCAACAGGACAATGCAACCTTAATTTATGACTTAAACACAATGAAAGGCACAGTGGAGAGTTACCTTAAGAAAATAGCACAGCCATTCAAAACAGCACAGTTCCAATCCTGAAAAATCGCACCTAGTTCTATAAGTCTCAAGTCTAGATCTCTTCGTTCGCTGACTCGTCTCTCGCAACTTTGTTCATGGACTTTGCTCCTACCGCAACGCATGAGATCCCGCTCGCAGGCTATGAAAAAAAGGTTTGAAACCATGTATTGCTGGAATGGTTTTTACTTGAGTATCGAAAGTAGTTCGCGCACGCTCTGGTTTTGCTTTGTTACGCAACAAGGATTGGCTTAAAAACCTCGGGCAACCTTCTCCGGCAATCTTTCAAAGATTTTCCTCGCGCTTTCCATCGGCTGCGTGCGTTTACTTCGAGTCTTGATTGGTTCAGTGGATTTTCTCTGTTGTTTGTTGATTGGCTCGGGTGATTACTTTGGCTTTACGACACTCAACTGAAAACCGTTGACGGTTAAAGTTTAGGCTGTTTCAATTCTAAGTAGGGTAGGAACGTGACTGCTGGCGCAGATTTACCCTAAAACTCCACCAATATCATTTATATCTCTTGCGTTAAAGAGCCAGACATTACCCTGATATAGATTGTAACAGTCATCTTCTTTGTTCAAAATACAAATGTTGCTGACACAGCAAATTGCAAAAACAACAACAACAACTACAAGAACAACAACAACAACTAAACAAAACTTACAAAACACTTAAAGCAAACTTGCAGGCTTGCTTGAACTCATTAGAGGAGTCAAGCTCCGTTAAATTTATCATTCGCCTTTGTTTAAAAATTGTCGCTGGCAGCTTTTTGTTTTAAACAGAAGCAAGATCGCAAAGCTTCGACACCAACGACATGCAAAATTCAGGCCATTTAGTCCCTACTTGACTGTTGCAGTATTGAATGCATTTAATTAGATTAATCTCTAGACAAGATATTAAGCGCCTATGACCAGCACTAGACATGAAACTGTTTCAAATTGTTGTTTGCTCTTGTAATTAAACCAATGTACAATTTTAATATAACATGCCTATAACCACCATTTAATGATTAATTACTTTCATGCGTTTAGAGTTCATAATTGTTAAAAAAAGGTAAAATTAAAAAAAAAAAAAAATGGAAGTTATTATTGTTATAAACATAATCTATGAATAAAAGCAATTTCCAATTATTTAATAAAAAGATCGATAGCAAAATTAATGTCATTGCAAAATGACACTAATTGCAAATTGTAAAAATTAAAGTCAATCACAAACTTTAATAAACCCATTGTGGTATATATTATTAATCTGATTACATTAATCATATTTTCGTAATTCAGTTCTTTAGTTTTACCAGGACTACACGTAAAAACAAATTGTAAAAAAAGCCAATTATGACATCGTGTTAAGCCTCTCAAACGAAACCGAAATAATGCTTTAAATGAAAAACGTTTACCGCTTTGAAAATTACAAATCATCACCGAACGTTTTCTTTGAGGTCATTTGATTTGAGTGCACTTGACTATCTTGGCCTTTTAATTTAAAAAAGTAATGAATTCTGACAACTATCCATGCCTTTTACAGCTTTAACGTAAATCAACTACAAACTGAGCGGCCGGGTTAGGGTAAACAAGCATTTCCAAACGTTTATGTAAGAGTGATTTGAAAAATTAAGTTAACTGTTCAAAATTTGATTGCATTATTTATTTTCCTATTTTTGTACCAGCTTTTTTTTTTTAGCCTTGTATAATTTGATATCCAACTGATAGGCCTGTCCCGATTGTGCTCGGCAACGTTTGGGGTTTAGAGCAACTTTTTGCGACTCTAGCAACCTCGCGCAAGTTTTGGCTTTTGAGTAAAAAAATAGGTTTCAGGGGCATAGCTAGGATTTTTCAACTGAGGGGTCACACTGTGTTAAAGTGAGGGTACTCGCCAGATTTTCGTGTCGTTTTCGCCACCTGTTGTAGTTTGTTTGCTTAAAAAGGCTTACAAAATGGGGGCTCACGAGCACCCCAGGACCCTTCCCCCTAGCTACGCCCCTAGGTTTAGAGCACATACCAAGCACGAAAAAGTGGACGATTTTACTCCAATTTATGCGAATTTCTTGAATGTTTATCAATCTTTTGAAGTTCAAGTTCCCTCATATCGTTTGGCAAGACGTAAAATGAACCAAGTGTTTCTTTCCGTTAGACTTAAGAGTATCTTAAGAGTACCTTTTAATTTCGCCCATATTTGTAAAGCCAAGTTTCAAGCTACTTTTCTTGACCGACGTCAGCAATTATTGCGAATAGCGAAAAATAAAGCCTTTTATTAACGTTTATGTAAAAATTTCAAGAAATTTGGGTAGCAACTTTTGAAATTTAGGTTGCAACGTTTTGGCAGTTTTTTAGCAACTTTTTGGTATTCACTTTCCAGCCTTTTACGAGCACAATCAGGACAGGCCTAGGGCTCGTTTCTCGAAGGTCCCAAAAAGTTTTCGCACCCGGAAAGCCATAGCAAAAGCTCGAACCTTATGATTACAGAGCTGTTTTATTCACATATTCTCAATGTGAACAGAGGTTCCCTTCGTGCAAGAAGTTTCAGGCGTATACACTTCTCCATTTTTAGATACAGATGAACTAAAAATGGCTTTACGGGCCCCAAAAGTTTCCGGGG